ATAAGATCAAGGATCTCGCGCAGGTGGTGTGGCTTTATACATCAAGAATAGTATTAGTGCTTGTGAACTTAAAATTAGCCAACTAAACTAAAAAATTGAACAAGTTTTTTTTATTGCTTTTGGCAAGGAGTATATTTTTCTTAGATCAATGTACCGACCCCATGATGCTTGCAAGCTTTATATACCAACTACAAACACTCTTTCTGTCGAAGTTGCCAACCCATGGGTAACACAAACAGCTAAAGAGGCAATAAATAAAAAAAGAACTCTGCGGGCAAAGCTGCCAGGCGCTTTAAGCACAAAATACTTCGTAAAAAATTTAACGAATCATGCAAACAGTTTGCAAAAGAAGTTAAAAAAGCAGTGCTAGATTACGAATCAACAATAGTTCAAGTCTCAAAGAATAAGCCAAAATTGATTCACGCCTATACTAATAAAATGCAAAAAGTTAAACACCAAATACGAGTTTTAGAGGACAGTACAGGCGAAAGCACAGTTGATGTGGAGGAAATATGTAGAATTTTGAATAACTACTTTCACTCAGGAAGGCAGCAGAGAGTCGTAATTGGATAATGTACATCAGATTGGAAAAACGTTATTAGCAGTGTACCACGAGGTTTGGTCTTGGGTCCATTATTGTTTGTTCTGTACATTAATGATCTTCTAGACAAATTGGAACATAAGATCAAACTCTACGCTGATGACAGCAAAATTATTGGCGTCATAAAATCTAACCGGGACGCGGAGAATCTGCAAGCAGACTTAGATAAAGCCATTGAATGGTCACATAGCTGGCTCATGATATTTAATACTGAAAAGTATAAAGTCATGCATACTGGCCGAGGAAAAAAGTATCAAAACGAGACTGTTTCATGCCTGGACCAGATAGCCTGCTACTTGCAATTGAAGTTACTCATTTAGAGAAAGACCTTTGAGTTCTTATCTCAGATGATCTTAAACTCTAGTTTCAGCAGCTCCGGTGAATGCTAACAGCTCCTTTCGGAGGCTGAAAAAATATTTTCGCAGCCGCAGTTTTTCCCTGTGGAAACAACTGTATAACATGTATGTTCGTCCTCACCTAAAGTACGCTATCCAAGCATGGTCACCGTACCGACGGGCAGACATAGAAGCGGTAGAAAAAGTTCAAAACCGTGCAACAAAAACCGTTTCTGTGATTATGCATCACACCGCCGAGCAGCGACAAGTCATGTTAGGTCCTTCGACACTTCAAGAAAGAAGAATAAGAGGTGATTTAATTCTGATGTTCAAGTTCATGCGTGAAATTGACGAAATAAACTTTCACGTATTCAATTGTATGCCAAGAGAGAAATTTTTTACGAACCGTGTTGTTTGCAGTGGAATACCCTGCCGCAAATAGTAATTGACGCGACTTCAGTGATCACGTTCAACTAGGGGTGTAATGCAAGAAGCAAACTTGAGTCAAGTTCGACTTGAACTTTACTTTGTAACCAATAGCGGCAGAGTATTTTTTGAGGGGAAAACCCATACTCTGTCGCTATTGGTTGCAATGTAAAGTTTAAGTTGAGTTTGACTCAAGTTCGCTTCTTGCATTCCACCCCAGATGAACATTTAAATCAGTTAAAAGAGAATAATAAAAGATAATTGGAAATAAACTCTCTTCACATATGCTTCCAGTACTCTATTATGTTCTTAAAGTGTGGTACTTATGTCTCAGATGTGTACGAGTATCTTAAAACTGTTAGTAAAGAGGTGCCTGATGCAGCACATCTTTTATGATTTTTAAATCATAAAAGTTAGTGATTTTTACATCACTAACTTTATGATTTTTAGTCTATAAATTTATTACGGATTGTTTTAAATATTTTTAAATTATTGATCACTATAATAAAATAAACTAAACTATAGTCATTCATTTCATAAATATTAAGTACTTTAACATTTTTAAATAAAAACTTTAAATGCGTAAGTCGATTTTTAAAATAAACTATGCGTATTGCGTGTTTCTGACGATGATAAATAGTAGGCAACTTTTGCTTGTACTTCCCCAAGCAGTATTTGCATAGTAATATAACTAGGTATAAATGAGTAATAGAGTTGGATTAAAATGTTTTTTATAAACAATTTCTTGACTTATAGAGAACTTCTATATTTTTAGAAACTTTAGTGCAAATGTAGTCAATATGCGGTTTCCATGTAACATTCTCATCAAGATATATGCCATGAAAACTAGTAAAGATTTCCTTTTTTATTTCAAGTTCATCAATAAGAATTTTTTGCATGGTTGTATTTTGTTTTATCAAAGTTTAAGGTCAATAGAGTCTTGTGGAACATCACAAGTTATTTTAACATAGTTACTTTGAAGGACATCATTAGAGGTAATAAATTGCTCTCTATTTGATAAGTAATATGAAACCATTTTAACATATTGTCATTGATTCCGTAGTATTCGAGCTTTTTAAACAATATTTTATGATCAACGGTATCGAAAGCCTTCAAAAGATCAATAAAGACTTCTAGGGTATATCGTTTTTTTTCGAAAGAATCTGAGATTTCCCGAACAAGTTGAATAATTGCGTGCTCAGTTAAAATATTTTTTTAAAGCCAAACTGTTTGGTATTCTTTTAGTCAAAATATTTAAATACTCTATTATACTCTATATTCTTTCTAATAATTTTGAAAAAGTTGAAAGAACCGAAATTGAGGAATAGTTATTAACATTTGTTTTATCGCTTTGTTTGTAAATTGGTATAACTTTTCGCAATTTTCAATTGATCCTTGTTTTATAGATGCATTAAATACTTTATAAAGAATATCTTTCAGACTTTCATAACAATCTACAACTATGTTACCACTTACTTCATTACAACCAACAGCTTTATTTCTTTTGAGAGATTTAAAGGCTCTATCGAGCTCGTCCTACAATAATTTAGAAGAATACTTATTGTTTTAATGAGAGTTATTTATAGGACACAAGTAGTCTTCAAATGAACTCTCGGTCATAGGAATTTTTTTAAAGAGGTTGATTTCGATTTCAGTAAGAAATTTGTTAAATATGTTTGCAGTTTTGCTCGGTTCACTTATATTTACATCTTCAAATTTTTACAGTTTGTGGTAAAGAACTTAAATAATTTTTTGATTTTCCTGTTATTTCTTTTATTATTTTCCAGGTTGGGTTGTTTTAAACTTATTGATTAGATTAGTATAATAATTTTTTTTTAGATATTTAGGAATTTTTTCAAATAAATTTTTATAATTTTTATATATTTTTTCATTTGCAGAAGATTTAGTCTTTAAATATTTTATATACAACTTTTGTTTTATTTTCGAAGATTTTTTAATCCAAGCCTTTTGTAATCCAAGGACTATTAAAGGTTTTATGACATAAATTTTTCACATACTTTAAAGATAAAATCTGAGTGTGTGGATGTGAGATTCCGAATGGATTGTTTCCCATGTAAAAAAGAAATAAATTAAAAAGAGAGAGCTGGAATAGTCCGCTTAGACAAGAAGGAAAGAAATTAGGTATATTTGGAACTGCTGATAGAATATTCTCCAATCATTTATTTGTTGATAAAATGTAATGAACCCTTACCCAACATTAAATATGGGTTTTCATCAACTTAAACAGAAAAAAGCTAGAAGAATTTTAAAGAAGCACTTGATCACTTCTTGAACATGTTCTAGTAAAAAGCAACCTGTAGAACCTTTATCCACTGAAAAAAGTATTGTTACAGAATTACCAAGTGTTAGTTTTAATGTAAATATTTTATCAACTACATCATCAGACCATAGATATTCAGTGATTTTACCATTAATAAATGTAGTTCATGTGAATACAAATCTTTTCTTATCACCTCTTATGTGACTATGTAAATAATTAAAAAATAGTTAAAAAATAAAAATAAAGCAGCAGCGAAGTCAAAATATAAATTTTTTAAAGATTAGATTTTTTAATAACAATTATGCTTTGGTTTATTAAATAAAAATCTGGCTGATTTTTTTTATTTTAGATGCCCTAAGAAGTCCTTACGATTTTATCACAAAGTACTACCGAAAAGCATTTGAAGGTATACTCATGCCTTCTTCCTTACCGATGTTATACAAGCGCTTTAACCACTGCGCTACGGCTGCTGCTCACACGGCGAATTATTTTGGTATTTTGAAATCGTTATGCTCTAATAAGTTTACCACTTTTTTATAATTATAGCTTATATTCTTGGATGTGCTATTTTTGTTTGGTTACCAAATGAAGCTATAAAAAAAAACTTGACAGAGTCCTTTGTAAAAACAAACCATCGCATACGTAGAGTGGTTCTTGATTTTTTTAAAAATTATTTATTGAACGTTTAAAGTTCTTTTACAAACAAGCAATGAGTTGGCCTGATTATAAGTCTTGGTATAGAGATCCATGTATGAATAATATCCCCTTTAATTTCCCGCTTTGTGCGGAAAATTTATAGTCGGTTGGTTTGGATATTCCTTTACTAACTGAAAATATTTTTTTTAATTTGTCAATAACTCTGCTTACATCTAGTTCTACATCATATTCAATACTTGAGTAGTTCTACATCATATTCAATACTTGAGTAGTTCTACATCATATTCAATACTTGAGTAGTTCTACATCATATTCAATACTTGAGTAATTAAAAAAAGTAACTATTTTAGACCGTAGAAAAAACAGAATTATTCAAAAAGTTTGTTATCCTAACATATGCTAACTGATTCAGCGTGTTTAAAGTTCATTTTCGACAGAAATGGATTCGTGGACCGTAAAGACCTGTGTTTTGATAACATTCCTAATCAATACCATAATTACAGTAATAATATTTCAAGTGATGAGATTCGGCAAGTTTAGTTTTTGATTTCAATTTAAAAAAAAATTCTCTTTAAAAAAACTTATTTTTATAATAATTTAGTTTTATATATGCATAAATTTATTTAAAATAGTTAACTCGATAAAAATTTAATTCTTAACACCTTTATTAGACAACTCAACAGATTCGCATTTCCTTTAAGATAAGCGTATAACACCACTTTTTTATTATTTAGTGTTTAAACGGAAAGCTTTATTACTGTTAAAAAAATATATTTTTTTACAAAATTCCGAGATACACATCAACACCTGCAATATTTGAAGTCGTAGCATGGCAAATAAGCGCAACTTATGGACTCTAGCTAATTTTCGTCGAGATGCGATGAGCTAAAATTATAAATTGAAATGTACATATATATATATATATACATATATATATATATATATATATATATATATATATATATATATATATATATATATATATATATATATATATATATATATATATATATATATATATATATATATATATATATATATATATATATATATAATATATATATATATATATATATATATATATATATATATATATATATATATATATATATATATATATATATATATATATATATATATATATATATATACGCAAAACCGTGGTTAACAAAACTATAGAGTAAATTTAAATAAAGGTGCTTACATTGCTTTGGTATTCGAACATGTTCAGTATCGCTAAATACAGCCTCGTGAACAGCATCACGAAATTCATAAGAAATTTTCAGATATTTATCTTCTCCTGGGCATGGATCATAGAATCCATTTAACTGAGACTAAAAAAACATAAAGGTAATCTGATGTATCCAAAACTTTGGAAAAGGAATCAAGGATACATCAGAGGAAGTCAAGGGCTATTTGTTTTGACGTTTTTTTTTTTTTACAACAATCATTATTATATATTTCAAAAACAAATAACATTTACATGTCTCCAGTTTATATCACAAATATTTACAATATATAAAGAGCGTTAACTGTTTTACACTTGCGCGTTTGACATCGAGTTAAAATAATAAACTTAAAAATTCGTAGTTTATAATATAAAGTGCTGGCTATTAACCCATGCATTCAAAAAATATACGCAAGTCCGTCGCACCACAGGGCTACTAGGGACTTGCTTGTCGTAGTCGTTGAAACTATATATTATATTAATATATATCAATAGTACTATGTAGTTGTAAGGAAACTCGCAGAAGACTAAAAAAAGTCTTTTCATCGAGAACCTTTAAAATACAAAATAAACTACAAGTTTAAAGAGTAAATCTATAAAACACACTAACTTTTTGAAGTCATCTGTTCATTAATATTTTACTATGTATAGTTGCTAACTATAAGTATTTATTATATACTTTTTTTAATTTAGTTTTTATTTAGTTTTTATTTATTTCTTTTTTTTTTTTTTTTTATAGCTTAAATTGTTCTTCTTACATTTTATTATTTAAATTGTTCTTTTATATTTAATACATATCGATAAAATTGGTTTTGTTAATTATGAGATCTTTTAGTTTTTTCTTAAGGGTAATTAAATTATCCAGTTTAGTAAGTTCTATATTTTGAGGTATTATTTTGTTATATAAATAGGGGCCACGGAATACAATTGAAAATCTCGAAAAATTTGTTTTTTTATGGGCAACGTAAAGTTTCCGGTTACTCGTGTGATATATCTGTTAACGTTGGTTTGAAAAAAGTTATTAGTAAAATGAGTTAGGACAAGTCCGAGCTTATATTTGAGCATAAATAAAATATTTTGGTAGATGTTAATTTGATAGATATTTAAAACATTCAAGTTTTTAAGTAAAGGATCGGTGAATTTATTTTTATTATAAATTAATCTTGATGCGTGTTTTTGGTGTATATATAGAGAACTTAATTTAGATTTATTTGTACTTCCCCAGGCAATATTAGCATAGGTTAGGTAACTTTATATATAAGAAAAATAGAGGATTTTTAGATTCTCCTGAGAAAATATAGGTTTCACTTTGTAAAGTATACCGATACTTTTTGATATTTTTGTATTTAGTGTTTTTATATGGGCTTTCCAAGAAATCGTTTCGTCGATAATTATCTCAAGAAATTTAATAGTTTCAGTTCCTTCAATGTTTATGTTATCAGTTTTTAATAATGGTAGAATGCTTGGTATTTTATTTTTTTGCTGATTGGAATGAAACTAGATGTATTTTGTTTTTTCTGTTATTTATTGATAATTTATTTACTTTAAACCAAATGTTTAGACTCTCAAGGTCATCGTTTGCAGATTCAAAGAGATTTTCAATTGATGGTGATGAATAAAATAAATTTGTATCATTAGCAAACATTATTGTATCGAGTTTTTTTTAGTGATTGTGAAAGATCGTTAATATAGATTAAAAAAAAAAGAGGACCAAGAATGGAACCTTAGGGAACTCCGCATTTTATTTTTAGGAAATTAGAATATTTATTATCGTTTGAAATAACACATTGTTGTCTGTTGCACAGATAACTTTTAAACCAATCTAAGCTAGTATTCTTTATTCCGTATATATATATGATGTTTTCCTTTACATAAATCAGAGCTTCTCCACCTTGTTTATTTGTTTGTCTCTATAACAATATCTAAAAAACATATATCTAAAAAACGATAAAAAAAAAAACTCTATTACATATATCTAAAAAACGAAGATGGCAGAATTGTTATGCTCAAAAATGCTTTAAATAGTTTAAAAAGTTTGAAATAGCTTATTCAACTAAAACTTTATTAATCACTTTCGTATCAATTAAGGTGTTTGTTTTGTTTGGAAACTATTCTGTTGGTTAAGTTTTATCTGAACATTTTAAGAAAGACATTATTACTACTTTCTTGTGATATATTTATTGTTGCATTTATCAATCAATTTGATTTGCTTTCGGTCAAAATATCAGACGTTTTGAAACACTATACCTTAAACAAAGGAAAAGCAGAGACTTGCAAAATATGTGGAAATACCAGTAAATACTTAAGTTCCACAACTGGAATGTGATATCACCTAGACAAAAAACATGGCATCAAAAAAGAAACACATGAAAAGTTGACAACAAAAGCTGCAACAGAATCGAAAAAGCCTAAGATTTTAACTTTTTTCCCAAAACAACCAATTGAAGAAGTGATTTCAAGACTTACAGCACTGAATGGATTTAGTTTCCACGCCATTGTTAACAGCTCTTTCATTCGATCTGCCATGTGTGAAAAAAGTTATGATTTTCCAAAAAATCACAAGCAAGCAATCCAATCAGTTAAAAAGTTTGCAGCTGGCGTGAGAAATGACCTTAAAAACACTTTTAAATCTTTAGTGACCAATGGAAAATGCTTTTCAATTACACTGGATGAGTACACTTCTTTGAAAAATCAAAGGTACATGAATATTAATATTCATCAAAAACACACATACTGGAATCTGGACTTGACTCGAATTCTTGGATCACTGCCAGCTGAAAAAGATGCAACAGTTGTCACAGAAAAAGTGGCCGAATTCGGGTTGAACATTAGCGACAGCATTGTCTACTTAGTTACGGATGGAGCTTCCATGATGGTTAAGTTTGGAAAACTGGTTTCAACTGAGCATCAAACATGTTATACCTATGAAAATTATTCAACAGTTTCTCAAAGTTAAAGATTCACTCCGAAAAATATTGAATGACTAATTTGATTTGCAGTGATGATGAAGTAAACATTTTATACGACACTGTTGCTGCTCTTGAACCAATTAAATTGACAGCAGAAGCCCTTTGCAGACAGGATACAACTCTTCTTACTGCTGAGGGAATTTTCAAGTTTCTTGTAAACAGACTGAAACAACGAGAGTGCAAATTTGAGACGTTTTGAAGAGAGAAGGCAGAGCAATATTGCAATCTTATACAGATACCTTTCCAATCCAGAATGTTTATCCGACATTGAAGAACATAGAGCTTTTCAAAATGCCTTCTGAACTTCAAAAGACTGCCAAACAATTGTTGTCTAGACTATTTCCAACGAATCCAGATGACTTAGAATTCATTCAAGAAGTATGTGGCTCAGAAAATCTTGATAAAAACCCACTTTCACTGAAAGATGAACTCAAGGAAGCAATTCAGCATTCGGCCAAAAAACAGCGCCACAATGCAAACGACGAATTCATTTTAAAAGAAATGTTGGACTATGAAGCTACTGAAAAGAGAACTGCCAATCTTGAACTTTTGTTCAATGCACTGGAAACTATCCCTCCAACAAGTATTGAGCCTGAACGAGCCTTTTCTGCTGCTGGATTATTTGTGACAAAAATTTGATTAAAAACGAATGACAACTTACTTGATACACTTTATTTCCTTAAAGCTCATTTTCTATCAATCTGAATCTTATAAAGACTTTATTTTGAAACGAAAAAAAATTTTATACGAGTTTCTATGATTTTTTTTTTTTTTTACCAATTTTACCGATATTTACAGGTAAATTAAGTACTCCCTCTCAACGGATTCAAAGTCAAGCCTCACTCTTCTCCATGGTTTACCTCACATTGTGCTGCTGCAATTTCCAATCGAAACCATTACTTTCATATCTATCAGCAAAAGAATTCTTCAGAAAAGAGGCGTCTATTAACTATTGCTAGAAACCATTGTAAAATGGTTTTGTTTAACACCAAAGCCCTATTCACAGGTCATGAAATCTTGTATTTCATCTCAAAAATTAGACTCTTGATCAATACATCTCTTGATTCCACAGATTGCGTTCTACCTGATATAGAAGACAAACAGGTTGATCCATTGCTTAACATTGGTCGAGCTTCTGTATCTAAAAGGATTTCCTGCTTAGACTCTTCTACAGCTTGTGGTTTGTTATTACATGTTATAGTCTTGCACATACCTGTTATAGTCTTGCAGAAGTGTTTTGCGAAGTTGTCGCCTATACTTTCAAAACAATTTAACAAGTGCCTATCAGAGTCTTGTTTTCCGGCACATGCTATCCCTATTTTCAATAATTCTGGAGAGCAATCTGACTTGTCTAACTATCGTCCCAATAGTCTTCTTCCTATAATAAGCAAGCTATTTGAATCTTTAATTAACAAATACATAATCTCTCATCTTGAATCTAACAACTTTAGCAAATCACCTAGAGAACTCGTTCTACAGGTGATTTGCTAACAGTAACAACTGATAGGTTTTATCGTGCATTAGATAAAGGCGGAAAGGTTAAGGCAATCGCTCTTGTCATTTTTAAAGCTTTTGATAAAGTTAGGCAATTGGTCTGCTCCATAAGCTTTCTTTTTTTTTTCTTTCTGTTAATCACCTCCCCAAGGCAGAGAAAGCCACTACAGTTTAGGAGGCTACTTTTGTAGTTACAACCCTCTCTCAACTTTATAACTCCGAAACACGAACCTTGACGAACAAGGCCGCTGCACAGAGAAACAAGTTGAGTGCGGTACTATCAGGATGTGGTGGGGATTGAACTCAGAACTTCTTGCTTACGAGGCGAGCGCATCTACTACTACACCACTACTGCATTACTACTCTTCTTACGGTGTATCAGGTAATATCTTTAAGATTATTGAATCCTTCCTTTGCAATTGTAGTATAAAAGTTGTGCTCGATGGACAGCATTCTTCATATCCTGTCACTTCAGGAGTTCCTCAAGGTTCTGTCTTTGGCCCTATACTCTTTTTAATATACATTAACAATCTTCCAGATATTCTCACATCTAAGGTGGCATTGTTTGCTGATGATACTACCATTTCATCTTGTTTTGATAAGAAGCCAACACTCTCTGATTATTTCCAGGGGACATTTGAATGTGAAAAGGACCTCACTTCTGCTACAGAATGAGGCTCACAGTGGCTAGGGAACTTTAATTCAGATAAAACCTAATTTTTTTCAGCCAATTGTTATTGCAATAACTTAGATCTTCCTATTTTTATGAATAGTAATGTACTCAATGAGTCATCTACCCTTCATCTTCTAAGATTAACTCTTACTTCCAATCTTTCTTGGAAACCATATATCAAATCCATTGCAAAATTAGCATCTGCTAAAAATGCTTCTCCTTATCTCAACACTTACTCTCAACTCATGCTCAAAACTTTCATACTTCGGATTCTATTCTTTATCTCTATAAATCTCAAATCCATCCTTGTATGGAATAATACGGTCATATCTGTTGTCGATCTTTCAATTATGCCCTTTCTCTTTTAGAAAAGATCAAAAAACCCATTGTAAACATAGTTGGAGCTGCTCTTGCAGCCAACCTCCAACCATTATCACATTGTCATGTTGCTTCTCTTTTCTACAAATACTTATAATGGGCACTGCTCTAAAGAGCTAGCATCTTTTGTACCATCTACTAAAATTCGTTCTTGTGTTACTCGTCATTCAATCGTCTCGACCTTTTTCTATGAATGTTTAAGTATTCACTTAATATATATATATATATATATATATATATATATATATATATATATATATATATATATATATATATATATATATATATATGTATATGTATATGTATATGTATATGTATATGTATATGTATATGTATATGTATATGTATATGTATATGTATATGTATATGTATATATATATATATATATATATATATATATATATATATAAATATATATATATATATATATATATATATATATATATATATATATATATATATTAAGTGAATACTTAATATATATATTAAGTATTCACTTATCAAATACTCGTTATATTTAAGTACTTTCAATTTCAGTCGTGTGCATAAACAATTAACTTAAAAATATAAAACCTTTGTTGCATCTGTAAGAATCAATTTTGAATCTCTAACCAAACATTGAACAGGAATTGTAACATTTGTTAGCTGAGACAGTGTAGCATTACTAAACATATAAAAATAAAGTTTAAATAGTCATTACTAAATGTATAAAAATTATGTTTAAAACTTTATAATTGGACCTCATAAGCAATAAAAAATATTTACTGAATTTTTACTGAGTTTCTGGTGTGTAAAAAATTTGTATGGAAAAAAACAACATAATAAATGTTTATTTCTACCAAAGTTACAAACTGTGCTGTTTCATTGTTTAAAACAAAACACATATCTGTAAGACTGCTGGAGTTTTGTACAGTGGTTAGGTTAGAGTTTTTTACAGTGGTTAGGTTGGAGTTTTGTACAGTGGTTAGGTAGGAGTTTTGTACAGTGGTTAGGTTGGAGTTTTGTACAGTGGTTAGGTTGGAGTTTTGTACAGTGGTTAGGTTGGGGTTTTGTAGTAGTTTTTAAGTAGCTTAAAACTTAAACTACTACACATAAAATTTGAAAAATGAACATTAATTACCATGAAAAGTCGGAAGTAAATTTTCCATACCAAGCTGATGTTATAATAAGTCCTAATTAAAAAAGCAAAAGAATAAAATAAATAAAAAATGATGAAAACATTTATAAAAATAAACAACAAATGTAGAGGGGTAACATTAGATAACCAAATATAGAGTGGTAGCTTTACATAGACAAATATAGAAGGGTTGCTTTACATAGACAAATATAGAGGGGTAACTTTACATAAACAAATATAGAGGGGTAGCTTTACATAAACAATTATAGAGACAAATATAGAAGGGTTGCTTTACATAGACAAATATAGAGGGGTAACTTTACATAAACAAATATAGAGGGGTAGCTTTACATAAACAATTATAGAGGGGTAACTTTACATAAACAATTATAGAGAGGTAACTTTACATAAACAAATATAGAGGGGTAACTTTACATAAACAAATATAGAGGGGTAACTTTACATAAACAAATATAGAGGGGTAACTTTACATAAATATAGAGGGGTAACTTTACATAAACAAATATAGAGGGGTAACTTTACATAAATAAATATAGATGGGTAACTTTACATAAACAAATATAGAGGGGTAACTTTACATAAACAAATATAGATGGGTAACTTTACATAAACAAATATAGATGGGTAACTTTACATAAACTTTCTCTTTTTATTAAATCTGCATAATCTTAATCACATGAGAAAACTTTTCAGTTTTTCAGTTGTGCAGAATTATCCGATAAGATAGGATCACTTTACCAAAGATATGCATAAGACAGTATATACTAAAACTGAGATTTTCTTGCAACTACCTCAAGACTTTATAAGACAGTGCTTTAACTATTTAAGTGCTTTATAAAAAGTGCTTTAATTATGCAGTGCTTTATAGCATAATTATGGCTTAGAAAAAGTTTAAAACCTAATAAAATTAGTAAAACATTGAAATAAATTCTACATGATATATCTGAGTTAATCTTGGTTTTATAACAAAAAAAAAAAAAAAAGTTTTTAAAAAACAGTAAACTATTGGATTTTTTGAAAAACATGAATTAAGAGATAAATGAAAAGCAATTATTAAATATTACAAAAATTGAAGTTTATATTATTAAAACAATTTGCTTAAATAATGAAAGTAAAGTATTAGTAAACTGTTGATAAAAGCTGTTAAAATAGAGTTTAAACTGACCAATTTTGGACAACTTGGATGCCTGAACTTTACCATAAATTTTTTTATCAACTTCAGAAGCCATTCCAAGCCAGTAAAGTTAATTGTATTTGCAAAATAGATATTGCAACATCATAGCATATTTGATCTTAATAATTTCATACTTTAGTTTATTGAAGAAGTCAATAAAGAAAAATCATTATCATCAGATACCCTTATCAATTTTATATTTGAAAGAGAAGATACAAAATGATAGAAACTTCTTATCCCAATAAATTAATTTAAATATTGCAGAAACTCCAATAGGATGTCTCTTTTTTTTCATGTACCCAGGGGATTAAACATCTCTTCAAAAAGTATATTCAATACCAAACAAACTGAAGTTACTGGAACACAAAATAATTCTTAAAAAATGGTTAAATTAATATATAATTCTCATATAGGAACATTACAACATTATGCACCAACTTTTTAACTACCTGCGATTGAGCTCAAGTACAAAATAGTTGCACTTTAAAATATTTCATATTGGGAATCTTAGCATAACATAAAGTTGTATAATACACACCAAATAAAGTGAATAGCTATAAATACATCAAATCAACTCAATCAAATCAACTCATGTTATAGCAATAGTAATGAAGTGAATTATTTAGATGTAGCAACATGTAGCAACATTTAAACAACAACAAGCTATTTATTTTCCATCATTCAATTACTTCAATTAATTCAATTACAAAATCATTTAATAATAAGTAATAATTATTAAAGTAAAAGTAAAATATTTTTATTATAAAAATATAAGATACAAAATTAATAAAAATTATAATCATAGCAATAATAAGTATGTTTACAATAATAACAATGAATAAAAAAATTTAAATAATAGTAATAAATATTATCATGATAGTTATAATCATAATATTTATAATAATACTAAAATTAATAATACTGAAGTCAAACTTAAACCAAATTTAAACTATAATATAAGTATAAGCACATTGACAGAGAACATACATTAAAAAATAAATAATTTTCAAGTTATACAGCTATTCATTAAAGTTTAAACAAGGGTGTAATTTTGATCACATAGGTTTATTTTTTTCCTAATAAAAAAAAAAGTAAAAATGATGTTGACCTAATTTTTTTTTATTTATTAAAGAAAAAGTAATTAGGTTTACAATAAATGTGAACTTGTTATGAAATTATTTATATTGTTAAAAAAAAAGTTAATCATAAAAACACACATGTAAAAAATGAGTAGCACAAAAGTTTAAACGAGTTTCAAATTCCATCAATCAGACAGTTGTATGGTAGATGCAAGCAACTAATTTTTCAACAAGACGGGGCTCCAACTCATACAGCTAAATCAATCAAAGAATATTTTTTGCAGAAAAAGATTAATGTGATCCCTTGGTGCCCTAGATCACCAGATCTCAACCCAATTAAAAATATTTGGTCATGGATTGACAACCAACTTACTTATCACCAAATACAATCAACTGAGCACTTAAAGCTTTTGAAAGAGTACTAGTTGAAGCTCAAGAGATGAAATGAAATTGAAACGATGCAGAAATGAGTTTATCTTTGCTATAAAAAAGGCGGACATTTTAAATATTAATTTTGCATTTTTTTTCTCCATTTTTTGTTTGTTTGTAAAAATTCATTTAAATTTTTGTACTACTCATTTTTCATTGCATTTTTATAACTAACTTTTTTAAATTAATATAAATAATTTCATAACAAGTTCACATTTATTGTAAACCTAATTACTTTTCTTTTAATAAATAAAAAAAACTAAACCTACTTGATCAAAATTACAACCTCGTTTAAACTTTCGTGAAGTAAGAGGTAATCCTAGTAGATGAAGGGGAGATACTCATCAAGTACATTCATAAAAATAGGGTGATCTGAATTGTTACAATAATGATTAGCTGAAAAGAATTAAGTTTTATCAGCATTAAAGTTCACCAGCCACTAAGAGCCCTATGCTGTAGAAGTGAGATCCTTTTCAAGCTCAAGTGCATCTCCAAGCAATCAGTGAGTGTTAGCTTTTTATCAAGACAAGAATAAATGGTAGTATCATCAGCCAACAATGCCACCTTAGATGTGAGAATATCTAGAAGACCATTAATGTAAATGAAAAAGAGTATAGGGCCAAGGATAGAACCTTAAGGAACCCCTGAAGTTACAGGAAATGAAGAAGAGTGCTGTCCATCAAGGACAACCTTTATACTACAATCGGTAAGGAAGGATTCAATAGATTGAGAGATGTTACCTGATACACCATAAGAATAAAGCTTATGGAGAAGCCCAGCATACTAAGCTTTATTAAAGGCTTTAGAAATATAGAGAGCGATAACCTTAACCTCCCTGCATCTATCTAATGCATGATAAAACCTATTGGGTATTACCATTAACAAATCAGCAGTAGAATGAGAAGATCGAAATCCATATTGATGATCAAAAAGTTATTAGTTATTAAATTCAAGATTAAAGAGATTTAGTATTTATTAAATAAAGACTCAAAAACCTTGCTTATGATAGTAAGAAGACTAATGGGACTTTTTAAAAAGGATAACAGATGCTGCTTTCCAGAAGGCTAGAAAATAGAAATCACTGTAGATACAGAAGCTGGAGTGATAAGAATGACAAGCAAAGGATCAACCTGTTTGCCAGCTATATCAGGTAGAACAAGAATTAAGAGATGATATTGATGAGAAGTTCTTAGCAAACAATTTAGATTTGTCTTTTGGCATGGTGACAAAATCTGAACCATACAAAAGAGCAGAGTTGATAACCCTTGGCCCTGCCTTAAGGCCAAATATTAAGGCCTTCGTCTTGGTTTTGGCCTTGAACATTTTGACCTTGAACATTTTGGTCTTGGTCTTCCACCTTTTAATTAAGAATTCAGAACTTTCTTTTGTGCTTGCATTTTAAAAATTTTACTACAGATGATTATTTTTACAAGATTGTGTTTACTTTAAAGCTTTAGAACTTATTTTTGTGTCTTAGTTGTTGTTTTTGGCTATTTTGACTAGCCATTTTATTGTAGTAATCAATGACATGATTGGCTAATTGGAATTTATTACATCTATATGTTAAGTCAAATGTTATGTTTTAATGTTTTTTAAAACATTTCAAAATTTGAAAAATGATTTAAACATGCGATTTTTTCTAAAAATTAAAAACAGAACTTTGAAGCTTTTTTAAATTAAAATAGTTTTTATTATATTTAAACTAAAATTCATCATGAAAGTATTTTCTTTATTTATTTATACTGTTTTTATTCAACATATCTAAATCTGTTTAAAAAAGTTATTAGTAATGTATATTAAATAGAGTTTCTCTTAATAACTTTATTAATGCGCCCTCATAGAGTTCGTATGTCTGATTTGTTGCTTGAAACTTTGATATTGAAACTTTGATTTCTTAAATGAAAATTTAATTTAATTACCATTAAAATGTATATTACCATTTATTTATAGTTTTAATTACCATTAAAACTATATATAAAAATTATGACTAAATTTAGGGCAATTTCCAATGCTTGGAAATTGCCCTAAATTTAGTCAAAAATCACAAAAAGCAAAACTTCGAACAATGGGCGCAAATACTTCTATCAAAAAAAAAAAAAAAAAAAAAATTTTTTTATATAAATATGACCTGTACACCACTCTTAAACCACTCCGCATAAAATTTGGTTGTCGAAAAAAATTTATGGAATTGGCTAGACACCATCCATGCACAATATAGCACTATTAGTATTCTGATATTTTACAGCTGTTGATGGAATCAGCCTCTCTGAGAGCTGCCACAGAGTTCGGGAACTGAATTTTAGAGCTGTACCCTAATTAGGAGATAATAGAATGAGTTGCATAGTCATAAAAACAGAGACACAAGCAAAACTCATGCATTGAGTCAAGAAGATTCAGCATTCAACATCCTAAACTACACCTACAACAGCCTAATAGATGAAGAAGGGGTACAAGGCTGATCAACAAATAGAATCTGTTTACCCCTTTAGTCCTTGCCTAGGAGGCCTTCTACAAGACAAGAGTCGGATGCTTTTAACAACTTCCCAAGATAAACATTTTTATTAAGACACTATCTCTAGTCTTTACTCAACTAAAAACCTCATGGCAGGGGGTGTTTTAAGTCAGAGTTGGCTTCTCCTAGCTAAAAAAAGCATATCCTAAAATACATTACATAACATAAATGGCTTTTAACATTTGTTCAGATATTTAGAGGGGAAATCCCAATCTTGAAATTTTTAATTTAAAAAATTATGACTTTATAAGCATTAAAAAAAAATCTTGTCACTTTCTGATTTTCTTTGAAATTCTTAATACTTAAAGATATATGGCCAATTATTAAAAATAAAAATTAACTGTTAATTGTGAGTGATTACTAGGTTTTATTTTAGCGCAAATTTTTATTTGACATATGTTACATATAACATGACATGTTATAAATATGTGATGTTGACATATAGAAATGTTTTTTTTTTTGGTAAAGCTTTCTTTACATAAATTTTTTAGATATTGTTTATAATTTTCATGCATTGGTTCAAGGTTTATTTGTTTATAACTTTCATGCATTGGTTCAAGGTTTATTTGTTTATAACTTTCATGCAATTGGTTCAAGGTTTATTTCATAACTTCTATTTGAGATTTAAACTACAAGATTTATCATTATTTGCCAACCAAATGTCATCTGATGAAAAACAAGTGAAGTTTCATTTAGTACTTTTTTATACTCAAAATGATTTATAATCTAAATAATTCATTTAGTTTATTTTTGAGTATAAAAAATTTATTTTCCTTAATTAATATATTCATTTATCCTTTATATACAAAAATTATTTGCCCAAAATGTATGTAAATAATGTATGCCTATAAACTCTCATAATGTATGAAAATAATGTATAAAACAAACTCTCATTATGTATTTAAAAAATATATGCCCTTCCCCCCCACTCTCCACTTGAGTGGCCACCCTGTATACATAGTGTATACAGGGTGGCCACTCAAATTTGAAAATGAAATTCCATGACTTTTCCATGACTCTTCATAAACTTTTATAATAAACCACTACCCAGAAATTATTTAGTACTTGCCATGCACTAATCTTTGCAACTTGGTCATTATAAAACATGCAAACCAAAACCTAATAGGTAGAAAGTTCTGAAATCATGTCTAAAAAAACTCTTTTTCTTTTACTTCTCTGATAACTTACACTGCAAAAATATCTTTTTCAAAAAGGACTTAGACTAGACATACTTGTATTTTTCTTTGCATCCTAAAAATATCACAAGTAGAAAAAAGTAAAAATAGTTTTAAAAAGTTTCATGAATTTTCCATGACTTTCAATGAAAATTTAGGAATTCCATGACTTTTTCCATGACCAAATAAAATTCCATGACATTTCCATGATATTCATGACCAGTGGCCATCCTGTGTATATAAATAATGTATGTACCCCAAACTCTCTCATAATGTACATAGATAATAGATGGTCTCCCCTCAAACTCTTATAATACATATATATACAAGCCTCGGCAGGAGTAATTGAGTGCAGAGGTGGTGAAATGCCACAGACTTGGGAGCAACGTGGGAACTTCCCACACTAATAGTGCTTGTGCAGGCAATCAGCAATTTTTGATTTTTTGATATTTAAATAAAAAAGCTCCTTAAGAAATCATCAAGATAACTGAGTTTTAGTTTTGTTTTTTAATAAGTGTTTTGTATCATAAATACATAAGAGAATCATCAGAAAAGATTATTTTAACGTTTTCTAGAAAAATTGCTAAAAAGAACATTGCATTTGACCAAATTTTTTAAACTCTATTTTAGTATTTATTTAGATTGCTTTTTAAATAAAGCTCCAAGTGAGAGAGCCAGTAACAAAAAAGTAAGGCTTTTGTAGTTAAATTTAAATAGCTTTATAAAAAAAAACTGTTAAAAGGTTTATATTTCTTTGTTTTACTATAATTCTTTGTTGTTTAAAAAGTTTTTTAATATGGATTTGAACAAAATTTTTATTTGAACTTATTGAGTCAACATAAAAATAGTCATAAAATTAAAAAAAAATTTCAATAAAAAAACTTTTTGACCTTAAAAAAATCTTCAATAAAAAAAACTTTTTGACCTTAAAAAAATCTTCAATAAAAAAAACTTTTTGACCTTAAAAAAATCTTCAATAAAAAAAACTTTTTGACCTTAAAAAAATCTTCAATAAAAAAAACTTTTTGACCTTAAAAAAATCCTTAATAAAAAAAACGTTTTGACCTTAAAAAAACCTCTAATAAACTTTTTGACCTTAAAAACGCAGCATTTTTTGTAGCATTTTAGCATTTTTTTAAACTATTGCATATTTATGTAATACTTAATTAGTAGTTACAAAATAATTAATAAAGTGATCTTTTATTTTAAATATTTAGATGTCTAGATACTTTTTACTATTTTTATTTATGTATGCACAATAATTATAAATACAACTCAACCTAAAAAACATTAAATTTAGCTGTTTCAAAAAAATATAATTGTAATTTGCATGAGAGTTACTTTAGTTAAATTTTTGTATTTTACATGAGAGTTAATTTAGTTAAATGTTTTATGGTATTTTTCATATACAATATTAAAGGTTATAGGTGATAATTTACAATACCTTGCTTTTGTTGTGTAACATTTATTTATTAACTATATGTTTTTGTAACATGCTTTGATACATTTAACTCTATTCCACTTATATATTTAAAATTTTATTACCTCGTCTTTGCTCCTCTTGGCTTACATTTCTTTGGTATACATCCATCATCAAACTAATCTGTAAAAACATACAATAAAATTTAGAATTAAAAAAATTAATGAGTCTATTTTAAAAGCTTAAAAATAGATAAGTAAAAATAAATATTGTTTCATTAATTATTAAATTATTTGATTGATTTTCAATTTTATTGTAAATCAATTAAATTGTAAATCAATTAAATTGTAAATCAATTAAAATTACTTTAATTTGTAAATCAATTATTAAAATTACTTTTATTTATGTTTATTTTTTTATATTATTAATTGACCATTTGCCAGATAACAACATTATTACTATGCATTGCATTTTAGGATCATCTGGTAACAAATAATTATCAAAATTGTAAACATGAAGTTGTTTTCCAATTTTTTAGAAGTTGACTGTTAACATCATTGTGGTTTACAATTATAACTTTTTTTATTAGCAAAAATATATATATCTTGTATCTTGGATCAAATAGATCCAATTGGCAACAAGTAGATCCAAAATTGATACAAGTCGAAGAAAAAAGCAGTGAAGAATATAACAAAAATAAAAACTTTTTTTGATATACAATTTTTTTCGCAACCTTTTTCAGCCAGTATATTAAGAAAATACTTTATTATTTGCGCTAAAAACATTAAAAATTAAAAAAAAATATCCAATATTTTTGCTAAACATTACTGTTTTTATCAATGCATAGAAAAGCAAAAAAAAACTAATTGGTATTTATTTGAAAATTATTTGTAATTTTTTTTTTTTTAAACAAGTTTTTCATCCAAAAAATTAAAAAGTCATTAATACTTAATATTTAAATATAAAATATCTGGTTGTTTTCACTACCCCCATGGAAATAGTCTGCACTTTTGTAGGATTGTCCAAATTTAAACCTGTTAGTTTATTTCCTGATGAACTATTGTTACTGACAATGCTCTGAAAACTTGTGGGCTATGGACAATGCTCTGAAAACTTGTTAATTTACTGAACTTTTTAACGAAATTTTAAGGAGCGTACTTGACTTTTTTTAAGTGCCTAAAGTTCTTAAAAAATTTCTTAAAGTTCAAGCGTACATAGCAAATTAGTTTCTTTATTATGCGGACTGATAAAAATCGTGAATAAATTGCATATCATATCAATTGTTATTTTATAAAAGATATGTTTATGTTCATTAACTTGTATCAAATTTGGTAACTAAAAACACAACCACTCTAAAAAAAAATGCAAAAGTTGAATAAAAATTTTATAAATTTTTTTTTTTTAATTATTAAATTTTCTAGTTTGTTTAATTAAAACTTGATATTTTATTACAATTTTGTTCCTTTTTTAAGGATTTTTTTTTTCTCAGTAGTTTTTTGCCGCAAACTATTGAAATGCTTTATAAGTAAAAAAGATGCCAATTGCCATGGTCAGTGTGTCTAGAAAAATTGTTCTACATGTGGACGAACAAAGCGTGCAACCACATATGCTTCCTAAAAATGCTTGTTGCTAGAAGTTGTTTTCAAAGCTTTGATTATTGATGTCACAATTGGAATACAGGAACTGATGCAAGAGTCAACACATAACAAGATTTTTGTTGCCTCCTCAGAAATACCTAAAACATTCACCACGTTTCACAGAAGTTCCAATCTTGGACAAAAAATTCAATTCCTACTGAAGAAAATTTAATTGGCTGGCTTCCATGGCTGACTTTGCTTTAAAATAGGTGTAAAGTTTGTTCAAACATTTAATAGAGTCCCATCTTCATGTAGCAACATCATTTTTCTAGTCAAGCCTGTTTTTTATATCCATTTGGATTTCTTGCTGTGTGTAAAGTTAATGTAGAAAAAAATAGAATGAGATGTGCAAGGGTTTTTAACTCTTTACAATCAGTCTTTTTTGATCACAAGTTGAATAGAGTGGTTAAAACATCCAGCTGACTTATAATTACAGCTTGGTTCATTAAAGGCTGCTTTTACATTTGCTGCATTGTCTTTTAAGCAAACATTTTAAGAAATTTCCTCTGCTGTAAGTTTTTCATCAAATTGAGAACAAGAGATGCAGAATTTGACATAATTCCAATATTTGGAATTAAAGTGAACTACCATTCACAGATAGCCATGATGAAATGACGATCATGCATCAAGACAGACTGACTCGCTTTTAACTTCTGATTGAACAACTTTTCATTGTGACCAACTTTTCTTTTTTCATAAGTTGGATCTAGTAAACTTCTGTAGTGTTTTTCATTAGCAATACCTAATTTGGAGTAACGAGGGAATGGTGCCTCAAAAACCCAATGATACCCATTATTGAAAATAGAGAACGGTTGGAGGTCAAGAACCATAATTTCAAATATTGACTTGTGAAACTTTTGTTATTTTTCAGAATTAGAGTCAATTTTCAAAGAAGCTTGAATCCAGTTTGAAATTTTAGATTTTAAAATGTCAGTTCTTTGTTTTTTTGATTGTATATTGAAGATTGGAACATTTTTTGTGTTTATAAGGGAATATTGCTACTTCAAACCCTTAGTCAATACATGTATTAAAGTGCTATCCAAATCCCTATTTCAGTATGTAGTCATTGTTTCATATATGTTTTGATATCATCAAGGTATACGAAACACTATCAGTGACATTTTATGTATCTTTGGTAATCTTTAATTAGACAAATTTCCAAATAGTTATTTAAAAAACAAACTTACTGCATCTAAAGCTTCCTGTTTTTTCTCTGCAACTAACTTTGAAAACTTTTCACAATTATCCTTCCAATTCCTAAGAAAAATAAAAATCAAAACGTTAAAGTTTTTAACTTAATCTCATTCTTTAAAATACTCAACTTCATGTACAAGATTTTCAACATTTTCAAGATAACCTGTTATTGAACAGTTAAGATAACCTGTTATTGAACAGTTAAAACAACCTGTTATTGAACAGTTAAAATAACCTGTTATTGAACAATTAAGGTAACCTGTTATTGAACAGTTAAGGTAACCTGTTATTGAACAGCTAAGGTAACCTGTGATTGAACAGTTAAAATAACCTGTTATTAAACAGTTAAAATAACCTGTTAGTAAACAGTTAAAATAACCTGTTATTGAACAGTTAAGGTAACCTGTTATTGAACAATAAGATTATTTAAATTTGATTATAAATCAGAAAAAAAAATTACTTTTCATTTTGTCTTTTCAATATTGGTCTAATTACAAATGCTCTAACAGTGAAGTATACAACAATGGGAGTAATAGTACCATAGAAAACTGCTGATGCAGAAAACACTTCACTCAGCAAGATTGGGAAATTAAATGTCTGAGTATGTCGATGTAACCTATAAAAAATAGAAACAGTTAAGAAAACATTTTTTTTTAAATTTAACCAGCAACCATGAAAGCAGTATAAGTCAGCTATAAAATCTTTTTATACTGACTCTGAGAGAAGTATACGCCAGCTATAAAAACCGAAACATTTAAAAAAAATGAATCGAATAATTCAGGGGCGTGGAGTAATAAAAAAAAAAGTACCAACTCCATATATATATATATATATATATATATATATATATATATATATATATATATATATATATATATATATATATATATATATATATATATATATATATATATATATATATATATATATATATATATATATATATATATATATGCCTTCCCAGGAAAGGCATGCAGTTTATCTTCTCGTACGACCACAAAAATGTTTTTCAAGTTTGAGAACGTGATCACGGCTGTTTGCGCAAGTTATATCATATGTGTTACTGAAAAATTGTTTTAAACTTAATAACTAAGTAAGAAATTAAAGTAAACTTAAATAGAAAACAATAATAATAGTTAAAATAATTTATGTGTTGTTTTTATTTACTTTTTTTCTTAGTGGTTATTATTATCGGTATTAACGGTTTTAGGCGTTAAAAAGGACGACTTTCCCATATTTTATGTGTTTTTTCTTTTAAATAGGAAAGAGAAAATATGTATCGTCTTCTGTTTGTAAAATATATTTGTATAATCATAATGTAACAAGTTTATATCAAGAGTTAAATTATACGATCGCGATTTGCAAACTCTGGTAAAATATTAGGTCTTTAAAGTTTTAGTTTATGCAAAGCTGTGTACTTTGTTTATAAGGAGCAAATTATTAAAAGTTAGCTAACAAAAAAGTTACAAAAAACAAAACAAAAATAATAAACTTACGACTACAAAAGTAATAACACTTTAGTAACTAACTGCATTATAAAAGTAATAAAACTATAATAGTGTTATTACATTTATAAAGCACTTATTACTTTTAAAGTTCATTCTTTGTTCAAACAACATTATTAATTCCAAAAATTTATTAAAGTAGAAAAGCATCTAGAAAAAATAAAGCGGATATTCAAATATTATTAAAAGTCTCAGGAACTTTCACATATCACCTAAACAACGTTATAAAAAAGTACTTTATAAAAAGTATAGCATTATGAAAAACGTTACATAAAAATGCGCGTTAATTTTAAAATCAACCAATGAAAAATTTTTATTAGTAAATTTTAAAATTAATGCGCATTCTTACGGTCCATTAGTAACATTTTTCATAATGGTAAACTTTTAATATGATACGTTTTCATAACGTTGTTTTTCATGTTTTTATAAGTTACTTTAGTTTTAATATTATTTAAACATCCACTTTATTCTTCTAGATATTTTTCTACTTCAATTAAAATTTGGGAATACTAATGTTGCTTGAACAAAGAATGAATTTTAAAAGTTATAGGTGCGTTATAAAAGTAATAACACTGTTATAGTGTTATTACTTTTGTAATGCAGTTAGTGACTAGAGTGTTATTACTTTTGTAATCATTAGTTTATTGTTTTATTTTTTCGCTAACAAATTTAAGTTGATTCTCCCCTTAAATACAAGGAACACTGTTTTGTATAAACTAAAATTTTGAATACTAGATATTCTTCCAGATTTTGCATTTTGCATTTGCTTAATTCAACCCTTGTTGTTACATTAAAAGTATACAAATAAATTTTACAAACACATTGCAATTTGTATTTTTTGCTATGCTAATCATTCTTTTTATTGTAGACTTGTTTCGCCTTATCTAATTTTGTTGCTGAATATAACTTTAAAGAAACAAAAATAAAAACAGTACACAAATTATTTAAATTATTAGTTTGTTTTTATTTTTTTCTATTTTAATCTCTTTTTATATTGTTAGTTTTTTTTTTTTGAAACTTTTTCAGCATTATTATAAAACTTGCCGTGTTCACGTTTTCTAAAATAATATAATCGCGTGTGGTCATACGAGACGAAAAACTGCAGGCCTTTACTCGGAAGGCTTGATATATATCAATATATATATATATATATATATATATATATATATATATATATATATATATATATATATATATATATATATATATATATATATATATATATATATATATATATGTATATATATTACATGATAATTAAATTTTTTTTTTTGCCAAATATATGAAAAATTCATTGAAGGTATATTTTGTACATGCACGTGCAGTATCGAGAAGTTTTACTATTGGAGTCAGAGTCGAGATTTTAGCAACTCCAACTCCACTAAAAATGTCACGACTCTGACTCAACGACTTTGACTCCACAGCCCTGGAATAATTTTAACTATAACTTAAAAAAAAAAGAAAATATTTTAAATTTAATTTTTATATCTATTGTATTTTCTTGAATAAATTAATCTTGGCTATAAACATCCAAAAATAAATTATTTATTTAAACTTCTAATATAAACTTTTATAACACAATAAATTTAAAACACAAAAACAATGATAATAAAGAAATCACAATAATGAAACCTTATTTCTAATGAAACACCAGATGCATTCCCGATACTTATATAAGCTCCTAACTTGCTAAGTGATGTCACTTTGTGCTCACATCCATACAGTAAATGTAAGCCTAGAAACCCACATCTAAACAAAACATTTTTCTTAATTTTATTTTATTGATTCATTATGTACTGCACACAATGATGAATATTATAGAATTCTATAATCATGAAGAACTAAAAAAAAAATAGTCTAAACTATTTGCAACGTACCACACAAAAACTGGGTAACAGATTTTAAACAGATGTATATTGTATATACAGTGTTACAGAGTAACTGCCATTAGTATGTTTTTTTTTTAGTAATTGCAATTCAAGTCTTTTAATATACTGATTAAAAAAACCTTTAATTAAAACATAAAACTTACTTTATTCTAATTTTAGCTTTAGTATCTTCATTAAACTTGTGCGTGTAAGCTATCATTGCAAATGGATTTTTCAAATTTAA